TTGAGTTAGAAGAAAGAACAAAGAAAAATGTCACGAACAGAGCACACTTTTACAGTCATGTCTACCGGACGTATCTTAATTTTCTATAAAATCATCGTAAACTTCATTTATATCACCCAACATAACAAAAATCTGCTATATTCGACGGCAAATTGAATTTTTGTTTTTTGGATCTTCCGTAGAATATCTCCAGAAGAGGTCCTGATTCATTTTTTTGGACTCTTCACCAGAAGACATTCTGGAGATGTGCAGAAGAGACCAATAAAACACGCCCCTAGTTAGAGCCTGGTTGTAAAAGGCTCTGTGACTTAACCTTTTTTTTTTTTATTATTTACCTTAAATCAGCAAATGTAAATTCAACATCATACTTTATTTGGCGTCCGGTTTGAGAACTTGCCTATAAACGAAGTCTTTTATTCAGTATTCCTGTTTTTGCTCATAATCAAAACATGATACAATCATAATCGATCTGTTCTGAAATAATTACTAAAAGGTGTTACATATAAAAAGGTACTTTAATCCAAATAAACCCAAAATTAATCTCATATATCTTTAGTTATTGAATTTTCTTAGCCGAGGAAATGATTATTATGAAAAATTTCTACTTGTTTCAAATAATTAAGGTTTTAGTTTTTAACAATGTTAAATAGATGACAAGTTTTCATGATGACAGGGTAATAGGAGACACGCTGCATAAGTTTAAGTGTTATTCTTGGTTCTCTTTAATTTTTCAATGTCTGTGCTGTTAATATCGGTAACAGTCTTGGCTCTCCTGTATCATGAAAAACGTATTCAAGTTCGCTCAAGTTTGAGGGTTAGAAAAATTACTGACTGGCGACGTCTTAGGGTTAAATAGGAGTCAACTATCAATCCGCTATTTCGTGATGCCTAATCACTTGATATACATTATCAAAATATTTTGTAACACGACAAGTATCACATGCGAAACAGATATCCCCCCCCCCCTCTTCAAAACATTGGTTAATTGTTCTAAAAACGAACGCAATAGGGGGTTTATTGAAGTGTAAATTGATCGGGTTCCTAATAAAATAACAAGGCGTTTCAGTTATGTTGTTTAGAAAAAAGCCAAATTTTCGACATTAAATATATCCGTAAAAATCAATTGAAGTATGATTTTTATCATCTTTATAAAATTGTTTGCCATATCCAATATCTTATCATGTAAGTTTTTTGTAAAGTGTCAACTGTTAATATTTTTAAAGTATTTATTCTGAGGTAGCGCCATTTAGCAGAGGCGAACATAAACGGTCTTTTAGACCATTAGTTTCACCACACTAAAACACACATTCTCAAATTTCTGTTATCTTTTTCTGTTTCCTTTTTACATTTAGTTTATTTTAGTGTCTTCTTATTCTTTTATCTATAAATTATTCATTATTATTTAGCTTTTTATCACACAGTCTCTTTATTCGCTCACCTGACCCACAGAGTCAAGTGAGCTATTCTCATCTCATGACGTCCATTGTCTATCGTATTCGTGTCCGTCGTTTGTTAACTTTAACAAACGTCTTCTCCTCTAAAACTATTGGGCCAATTGGACCCAAAATTAGCCATAATTCCCATTACAATATATTGTTTAAAATGTATGTCCGATGGTCTAGGCTGCCAACCAACATGGCCGGAATGGCTATAAATTATAACTAATTATGGGTAAAAAGCAAGTTTTGTTGATTAACTTTAAAACCGCTTAAGAAAGAGAAAATCTGAAAGGGACCGTTATATTCAGTATGATTAGATCTGCCAACTGTATTTTTACATCAAAACTGTCGGGCGACTTCGTCCAGAAATTATTGCCTTTCAATGAAAGTCATATTTGTTTAGAAAAATAAAAGTATATAAAGTCAGACGTTAGAGCAACTATAAGCTTGAAAACCTTGGAAGAAAGAGAAAAAAAACTTTAAATAGAAAAATGATTAACATGTCATAATTTACAAATAAGTCAACATAGCCAAAATCGTCAGAGTCATTATTGGAGTCATTGTCCTTAATGACGATTTTTACCGTCTTTTTGCGTTTTTTTTCTGCCTATTAACTTAAAAACTATAATAGATAGACGGAACCTGTAGACAGCAAAAATGATCGACAAGAATTGATCTGCAAATAGAAGACATATTCGAAACTGTTAGTCGACTCCATATAGGAGTTATTGCCCTTCAATGACGATTTTCACCCCCTTTTTATATTATTTTGGACAAACAACTATACAGTACATAGAGAGAATCTTTAAACAGTAAAAATGATCAGTAAGACAGGGTTAACACAACTTTTAGTTATGAAAGGGAATTATTTAAAGAGCAAATTTTTAAGCAGTCATCAGAGAGCACATTTTAGTTTAGAATGCATGTATTTCTAGGAGAATTAAGAAAACCACAACATAAAATTTGACATTCTTTGGTGAGTTAAAATTTGCTTAGCATATAAATCTTATTGTTTTAAATACTTCGGTACTGACAATATTTATAACAAACCTTCTAAAATTGCCCATATATAAATTTTGAAATTATAAAGAAACTAAAGAAACTTTGATCTTTCCTGATTAAGGTAAATCCAGAAAAGCGCTTCGGACGCATGAAATTATAACGTGTTGTTTTTTCCAATTTAACTGTTTAAATCCGTCTATTATTTGATAAATCTTTCTCGTATTTTAAGCAGTTGATGGTCCTATTTTCAATAAAACAGGAAGCAAATATATCTTTGGATAGGAGGGACGATAGTAATTAATAGACATTTGCGGAAACTGTCATACACCTACCATTAGGATTACAATTACACTTTCATGTAGTACTTAAATCTTGGGTCGTCTCAAAGCGCATATATAAATCGTCGTTCCAAAGCAAAGTGTTTTTCTACAGTTGAACAACGGGGTTTTTAAGAAATATATGAAGTAAAGTGTACACATTAATTATTGTATATGGTATTATCCAGGTTCAAAATGCTGTTAATGTACGGAGTGTGATGGAATGGACAAACATCATTAGATAAATTTTACATGAGACATTAATAAATCGTATTGTCGTTGGCTATGTGTAAAGAAAGGGCGATCAAACTTAGGAGCATGTAGACAATATTTAATGTTTATGCTAAAACATTCATTTTCCATATCTTTTTTAGAGAATGAGGATACAGAGTAGGGGTGCTGAAGAACTTTTTATTGTTCATGGAATAATACTTTCCGATTCGTATATATTTATTATCTTTTATATTTTCCGAATTGGGAAAACAATCTTGTCCACGTTTTTGGTATAAAAAAATCAAGAATACTAGTATACTAAAAAATACAACAGCGTTATCAATGAACATCTCTGTGTCGAATATTCGTCTGACTCTGTAGAAATGTTAAATAGGTGAACTCAAAAAGTTGAAATTTTACTATCTTTCTATTCAACTCATTAAACAAGACCAATACCAGGTCTGGATCTGCGTCACTGCATGTAATTGATTGATGTTGGATGTATACTGAATCATACCTGACCATTCCCTATCATTGAAAGAGAATTTTTCTTAAACAATGAGTGTTGTAAAAACTCAAACTATCGGGAAACAGGAAGTGGCTGCATGGTTGATGTAAAAATTGCTTACACGCTGCAACTCATAATTATTATGTTGCAGACCAAATATCAAATAATTCCCTTCCAAACAAGCCAAAAAAAAAAAACCGAAAATTTATCTTGTCAAATTTCAAACTATTGGCAACAGGAAGTGGCTGCACGGCTGCAGATGTAAACATTGTTTACAAGCCACAACTCATAATTATAAAGCTGCAGACCAAATATAAAATCATTCCCTTCGATAAAGGCCAGGAAAATTTTGAGAAAAGTTTTGTATGTAAGGTATTTCGGATGGATGGACGGACGGACAGTGTCGAGCGGATACTAGACCTGCTTTCGCCTTCAGCGACGCAGGTAAAATGACTACCGGGTTCTGAGTTAATTGTTTTTGTTCAATTTTTATAGAGATCTTGGGAATCATTTGATTATAGACAGTTATTTCACGGTGTCGATAATTCTTTCTCTCCCATGAACATGGTTGGGTCTGGTGTGATCGAAGCATGAGCAGTAACTCATGAGCCGAGACCGGTAATATTTTCTTGAAATTGTACTTTCGAGTGCACTAATGACGATCACCCAAAGTTTATCCGCAATTTTTTTCCGTTGGTTAAAAGGGATAAAAGTTGCAAATGTATATCAGGCGAGAAGAAATTGATTAAAACAATCGCAGTCATTTTAGTGTTATATTTAACATTGCCATGAAAGTGCGAGGTTTGGCAAGCCACAAAACCAGGTTCAATCCACAAGTTTCTACATAAGAACTTGTGGATTGAACCTGGTTTTGTGGCTTGCCAAACCTGTATCAAGTCAGGAATATGACAGTTGTTATCCATTCGTTTGAAGTGCTTCAGCTTTTGATTTTGCCGTTTGATTACGGACTTTCCTTTTTGAATTTTCCTCGGAGTTCAGTATTTTTGTGATTTTACTTTACACTATTTAAGTCGGTAAGGGATCAGTTTCGGATACAAAAGTGTAATTGTAAAAACGAAGGGCATGACTATTTCAAAAGTACTGCGGCGGGCTTAATAATTATATTGTGTTACTTGCTTATCGCATTTTTCCTTGATTTTCAAGTGCACCGTTTCGTAGAGTACCCTCTGAACGAAATTTTTGCTGATTTAGCTTTACTAAAAATCAAATAAGGTAACACATGCTTATTGACATCTTTTAAGCGCAGCTTTAGTTGTACAATATGCAGTAACGACCTTAATATTAGATGTATTGCAGCCTTAGTCTGAAGCCGTGCTATTTTCGAAAATGGATAGAGTAAGATATAAACACGCTGTTCCTTTGCTTTTTGTGTGTTTTTTGCTGTGAATGTACTGATTTTGTGTCATGGATAGATACCCAATATCCTTTGTTTTTCTATAACACCTACTTGTGGATACTAGAATGCAAAGTAAAACTGCATACGCAATAATGTACAAAATATAAAAAAAATGTTCACCTATTCATAGCCTATGTGTACATAACACATATAATTATCCAGATTTACAGTTAAAACAAGACTGAGAATACCAGTCTTTGAAAGTTTCTGTTTATATCAAATTAAGTTTAAAGACTCAAACATCTAACATGTTTAACTACCATAACATCTAAAAGAACTAGCATGATAGTTACTGTTTGTTTTATTCCTTTGAATAGACAGTGCAGTTCAAATATTCTTTTTTAAACTTTTCCTTATACACAAAACCACAACGAAATGATTTCTGTTAAAGTGTCTTTGGATTTCTATTTTCAAATGTTTTGTCTTTGAAAGATTCTATTTCACCACAATTAGCAATATTGTTATCAGATGCATAGTAGATGTACTTGTTTATGTGATCTTTGAAGTAACCAGTTCTGTATACCGATGGAAGAGCTGTCTGCAGTGTTGTATCATGTACTGTCTTACTGTTATGCGACAGCTGATTTTCATTAGCCTGACTGTTCATTTGCCTGTCTTTCTGCAGCGGTATATTCACGTTAGAATATATATTCATTTTAGCATCCTTGTCAGACCCCGATGAACGCTCGATACACTGATGAACCATAACAGCTATTTCACAAGCATGTGATTCTTCTTGGAAATATTCCTGCAGTGGTATGTACGGTTTTGGATATTCTGTATTATTTTGACCAACAACGTTTGAGTTGGAAGAACTAGTTGAAATGCTTTCTTTTTGCAATGCTCGATTTTCTTGTTGTTCATCGGCGCCTTCTTTCATTCCGAAATACAGATCAAAATATCCAGCTTCTTCGTGTTCATTGCCTGCTATATTAGATTGTTTATCATCAAACACAAAATTAATAGTTTCATTATGAGATGCTTGGGATGTAACATTAGATCCCATCGTGACAAATGCTAATGGGTTCTCATCGACTTCATCATAGATATCATCAATACGAGATGCTTGGGATGTATTATTAGATCCCATCGTGAAAAATGTTAATGGGTTCTCATCGACTTCATCATAGATGTCATCAATATATGAAGTTAGTTCTAAAGGTTTTGAGATCACTTTTTCATTTACTACTCTGAAGTCTAAGGCGTGTCGCTTTCTGTATTTACGAAACAAATGGTACAAGACAGTAAGAACGAAAAAACCAGTAATACAAAGTGTATAAATTATCCATTCAGTGTTTGAAGTTCCTGCAATAATGAGTACAAATAACAAGAAGTCATATATGATTAGCTAAAAAAAACGTACAAAATGTACCTAATAGAACATGCAAATACGCATTCACGAATATTTACTTTTCCCTTTCCGCATCTCTTCTACACAGAGATAATGTTTCAAAAATGTGATTTCGGCTGTTGTAACCAAATCAGAAGTGACAACAGCAAAAACAGGATTATATTGGAAATCCTTATATTTTCCAAAACATAAAAAAACAAATCTGGTTTGCATTTTCCCATTTGTCTATAAACTGCTATCGATTATTTTGTTGGTTGATATAGTCTTACGTTTGCTTTGTCAGGTTTTAAGGTCTTTCCCTCTTTTTGAATTTACTTTGAAGGTCGGTATGTTTGTTAATTCTTTTTTAGGACATTGACTTCCAATGTGGGTTAAATATTCTACTGAATATTTACAATCTAAAGCCATATATATTATTGGACGGTGAAAATATGAATCACAAATAGATATTTACAAATGAAGGTAATCAGTATTTAGTCAGAAGTTACTCTGACGTCTGACGTCTTATACTTTATTTTGTGCTTAAGAGTGGTATTTGGTGATAACAATATTTACAAGGTACATATTCGTAGAGCAAAACTATTAAGAAAGCGAATGTTGTATGATTTAACTGCTTGACAATAGCACTTTTCGATTTCGAGACAGAAACATGCCATCGTAAATCTGGGTTAGAACTTAATTATTTTTCTATATGCACTGCGTTCTGTAGTCACACGGCTCCTGCAAGACCACAAAATGGCCGTCAGACTTTTAAGCAATCTCGGACTATCATTTATTAGATTTATGATTTTATTTCAAATTTGAAATATTTTTACACCAATTTCCTCATTCACGACTTTAGATTTAGTTTCTATCGTTCAAGAAAGTAACATTGGTATAAAACTTAAAAGCAATAGATAGACTTTTAAATGTATCACATTGTGTTGTCAACAAATATAATGAGCATTTACTTATAATGTGCAAGCTTGAATGCAGTTATAAGAATGCAAAGTAGTAATAAATAGACAATTATGTTGGTTTACTAACCATTCCTTATAACAGTTGCTTCTTTTGCAGTTGCTCTATCATTTGGAGGTGACACTGGTTCTATGGTTCCTAAAGAGAAATTAATGCTTACAAATCTTTAATTCTTAACATTTGAAAATTGGTATCAAGTCGATTCCCTATCCCTATGACTTGATTACTTAAATGTGTATCTTTTTTTTATTTTCCTATAGCTGATTTTGTTCCGAAATTGGAAAACAGATGCATTGCTGGCTGGTACTGTCAATTTTCATTTAATGTTATGGTAAAAATATTCATAGATTTATCGAATAGACGAAATGATCAGGCTTAAATTTTGTCATAGAGTGTTCTATCTTCGCAATACAAAGTTGCCTGTTGAGGTTGGATCATTGATTTTAATACTGTTACCTTATGCATTTTGAAAGGTCATTTGGAAAACAATATTATTGCGGTATACGTTTACATGCACTAAAAACTCCAAAGCTATCTTTAATATTTCGTAAAATTGTTTGTTCCAATTTTTTTGAAAATCCAGGAGGTACTAAAGGACATGTATGTTGACATAAGACATAATTGACCAACATTTTCCACTGCTTTTTTGCTTTCATATGCTCTTCAACTTCGATATTGGTTAGTCCTTCCTATTGTTTGGAAAAGAGGGCCAATTATGAGGGTTATGTAAACGAAACATGTATCTGGCGTTCCCTGTTATGAGAATCGTCGAAATAGCTAAATTGGTTATAGTCATGTAAGATAAGGAGGTCTTCAATGTGGTCTTCTTATACGCCATCACTAAACTTAAAGAAGTATTTCTTAGGGATTTTGCTTATAGCCATATCTCTGTAGAATAAAATTGAATACATACTAAGAGTGTACGATGTGCACTATTTTGTAAGCAAATGGCTAGCAAGATACTCATTTAGAGCACTGTTTGAATTATTAGAGAATCTATTAGACATTCTTTTTTGGCATTGCGGATAGTTGTGGAACATAGCTATATACGATGCTATGGTCTGTTTGGAACTGACATCGCGTCGGGAGTTCTAATTCCATGTTGAAGGCAATTATTGGCGTTGGAATGAAGCAGAGTTATCATGGCGTTTTCCTTTATTTGTCTGTAAACTGCTATATATCATTCTGTTGGTTGATATAGTCTTACTTTTGCTTTTGTCAGGTTTCATTGACTCTCCCCCTTTTTGAACGCACTTTGGAGTTCGGTATTTTTGTTAAAAATGTTTTACGACATTGACTTTTAATGAGGATCGTACACGGTGACTTAAATATCTTACAGAATGTTTACAATCTTAAGCCCAATATATCATTGGACAGTGAAAAAATAAGTAAAAAGACATTATTTAATCACTGATAGCTTTTTATAATTAAAGATAATCGTTATATAGTCAGAAGTCGTTCTGTCGTTCTGACGTAATATACTTTTGTTTGTGCTCAAGAGTGGAAGTTGGTTATTACAACATTTACAAGGTACATATTCGTAGAGGAAGAATATTAAGAAAGCGAACGTTGTATGATTTAATTACTTGACAATAGATCTTCTTGATTTCGAGACAGAAACATGCTATCGTAAATGTGGGTATTACTTTTTTCTATATGCACTGCGTTCTGTAGTAATACGGCCCCTGCAAGACCACACAATGGCCGACAGACTTTAAAGCAAACTCGGACTATCATTTATTAATATCATGCTTTTTATTCTAAATTTGAAATATTCTTACATTTATTTTCTAATTCAAGACTTTGGATATAATTTATATCGTGCAAGAAAGTACATGGGTATCAGTTAAAAAGCAATGCATAGACTTTTAAATCTATTCACATGATGGCCATCTGCTGTCAACAAATGAAAAAATCGGTTGCTTATAATGTGCAAACCTTAATACAGTTATAAGAATGTCAAGAAGTAACAAATAGATAATTGTGTCGGTTTACTAACCATTCATTATACCAGTTGCTTCTTTTGCAGTTGCTCTATCAGTTGGAAGTAAAACTGGTCCAATAGTTCCTACAGGAAAAATATTTAATGCTTACAAACCTTTATTTATTTACATTTAGCATTTATGATCAAGTCGATTCCATATGCATATCCCTATGTCTTGATTATTTAAATATGTATCTTTTTGTATTTTCCTATAACCGATTTTGTCCCGAAATTGGAAAACAGATGTAATGCTGGCCGGTACTGTCATTTTTTATTCAATGTTACACAAACAATATATTCATAGATTTATCGAATAGACGGAATAATCAGGCTTAAATGTAGTCATAATGTGTTCCATCTTCGCAATAGAAAGTTGCCTGGTGAAGTTGGATCATAGATTTTAATACCGTTATCTTATGTCTCTTAAAATTTGGAAAACCCATATTGTTGCGGAATACGTTTACATGCACCAAAAACTCCAAAGATATATTTAATGTTCCGTAATTTTTTGTTTCAATTTTTTGAAAACCCTCGAGATACTAATGTATGTTGACATAAGACAAAACTGGCCCATATTTTCCACTGCTTTTTTGTTAATATTTTGTTTTCAAACGCTCTTCAACTTTGATATTGGTTAGTCCTTTCTACTGTTTTGAATAGAGTGTCGATTATGAGGGTTATGTAGACGAAACATGTATCTGGAGCACCAAGTTATGAGAATAGTCGCACTGATGAGTGTTTACATAGAAATAGCCTAATGGTTATATTCGTTGAAAAGAAGCAGGTTTTCAATGTGGCCTGTTAATTCTTAGGGTTTTTCTTATAGCAATATCTTTGTAGAATGAAATTAAATACACACTAAGCGTGTACGATGTACACTATTGTGTAAGCATATGGCTAGTAAGATACTCATTTAAAGGACTGTTTGAATTATTTGTGTAGCTATTAGACATTCTTTCTGCTACATGTATTAAGGTAGATGTGGAACATACTTATATACGATGCTATTGTTTGTTTGGAACTGGCATCGAGTCGGGAGTACTAATTCTATTTGTTTTGCTAACACATTGTTTTCAATAAAATAGAAGTCTATGCAACTGTTTTCCAAGTGAGAGGTTTCGCTAGCTATATAACGAGGTTTAATCCACCATTTTCAACATAAGGAAATGCTTGTACCAAGTCAGGAATATGACAGTTGTTTTCCATTCGATTGATGTGTTTAAGCTTTGGATTTTGCCATTTTATAAAGGACTTTTCGTCTTGAATTTCCCTTGGAATTCGGGTTTTTTTTTAAAGCATTTTTTTGACGTTGGAATGAAGAACAGCAATCATGGCGTTATCGTTTGTTTTTTGTTATTTTGATCATTGATCATATAGATGTATAGATTTATATTACAATTGGAGCTTCGTCATCAATTTGTTTACGAATGTCATCATCGTTGGGAATATATCTTTTATAGAAGACCAATAAGTAATATACGATGTCTGGTTGTTTCGTTGTTACACTCATTTTTTTCTTTCATTCTTTGTGACATCACGAATGCGACATCGCATAACTTTGTTTGTTATTGAATATACTTGTACGACGGGTATGTCTTATGAGTGTAAACTGATAGTCTGTCCTGAGCACCTGGATTTACCACCGGGTTTTGGAAGGAGCTTTCTTACAATATCTTATATGTCCGGAAAAGTGTTAAATGGACTGCTGAATGTCTGTTCGTTTTTATCTTTTTTCTTTAAACTTGTGAATTGCCCACTTTTCATGAAAATAGCATAACGTTAACGTTCCACAGGCGTTTGCTCGTTTATAAAGTTCATTGATCACATCTTTGTAAAAGTGAGGCGAAAGATACCAAAGGGACATTCAAACTCATAAGTCGAAAACAAACAACGCCATGGCTAAAAAAGAAAAAGACCAACAGACAAACAATAGTACACAAAACACAACATAGAAAACTAAAGACTGAGCAACATAACCCCACCAAAAACTGGGAGATCTCAGGTGCTCCTGAAGGGTAAGCAGATCCTGCTCCACGTGTGGCACCCATCTTGTTGCTCATGCTAGTATAAACCCGGTAATAAGTCTAATTCGGTCGGGTCACATTCGGGAAAAGGGGACGGGATTGCAGATACGACATTTGGAACATATATTTTGTAATCTGTTAAACGGATATTTTTATAACGGTCAACCAACTCGTAATGGCGTCTGTAATGTTACGAAGGGATGATTTCAACTTCACCACCTGGAACTCTTGGTTTACTGTAATAGCTCCCTTGTGAGCAGAAACCCTCTATCAAGGAAATCATGTATCAGTAAAATAACAAATAGAAAAAAATATGTACGTTTGTCCGATGATAGTCATTTGATGAGTATTAATCAAAGGCACATATACTTGTACAAGGTCTTTTACTTTACGTTCGATAATACATTTGTAAAATATAAAAAAAATAGTATTAGTAAACTTTCATGGAAACACTTTTTTAACGTTTTAGTTTTTTTTCTCAATTAAACAGCCACATACTAGAAGAAAGAAGATCAATTTCAATTTGAACAACAACATACTAGAAACAAGAAGATCAAAGAAGCCAGATCATTTAATTTCACATTCAGATATATTGATGATGTTCTTTCCATTAACAATCCAAACTTTTGTTTTTATAGTAATTAAGATTATAACAAAATGTTGACTGCTGTACCCCTATTTTTGACATTATTACCTGTTATGTCTGTTTGTTTTGTTCACACATTGTTGTAAATATAATGGAATTTTATGTGACTGTCATACACGTGAGAGGTTTAGCTAGCTATAAAACCAGGTTTAATCCATCATTTTTTAAATAAGGAAATGCCTGTACCAAGTCTATGACAGTTGTTTTTCGTTCGTTTGATGTGTTTGAACTTTGGATTTTGCCATTTGATAAGGGACTTTTCGATTTGAATTTTCCTTGGAGTTCGGTATTGTTGTTATTTTTTATTTTATATTGACCTCTGAGAAAATTGATTAACGAAACAAAGTCTTGAAACTGATTACTAAGTGCATACCTGTATAGGAAGTATGTATCGTTGGAATACTTGTCTTTGGAACACACCCTACTTCTGGATCACACCTGAAGTGTAAGTAATTTTATACGTGATAGTTATTTCCTAAACATCGGGTGGTATATTAAAGACGCATCACACAACAAATTATGAAAATCAATAAGTTTGCCATAATTGATAAGAAAAATAAACGGAACAATTGGATTTTATAGGATAGAAGGACTCTATCGTATGGGTTGAATACTGTTAGTTCATGAACTATTGAGAGATTTCTATTAATATAAACAATGCGACTGGGTGAGCATCACAAACATACAAATTCGCATTGTGATATATGATACATATATTTCTATGAAGCATTTCCCGAAAATCCGATAACTAATCTAGAATTTTGGTATTGTCAAAAAAAAACAATTATGAGTGATATCAATAATTTCTGAATTTACAGTAATTAAACCTTGATCGCATAGATCCCTTTAAAACCTGACAATTCACAGCTACCATAAAAATAAGGACATGTGGTATGATTGCCAATGTGACAATTGTCCATCAAAGACCAAACGACGTAGAAGATAGCAATTATTAGTCATCGTATGACCTTCAACAATGAGCAAAATCAATATTGCGTAGCAAGCAATAAAAGGCCTCGACATAACAATTGTTAAACAATTGAAACGAGATAAACTAACGGCCTGACTTATGTACAAAATTATAAACGAAAAAAAGTGATATACAACAACAAACGATAACCACGACAGTTGTGTAACATGTGTAACAGCACAACATAATAACAAATTATACTTTGGCATAGCACAAGGCCATGTTTATCTCTGACTGTTAATGACGTCTTTACATAAAAGCCATTGGAAGTTGGGTGTGTACTTATTCATATTTTAATTTAGATACATGATTTTTGGTGTTAGTTGCTATTGGCCTATTTCAACTGGTTTTGCATAGTTTGTTTTATATTGTACTTTTACACCACTGTCCCATGTTAAGGGGAGGGTTTGGCACTAGCAAACATTTTAAACGCCGCCACATTCTGTATGTGCCTGTCCAAAGCCAGGAGCCTGTTATTCAGTGGTTGTCATTTGTTGCTGTAATTATATTTATGTAATTATTTTATTTTTGTAATTATATATCATATTTGTTGTTTTGTTATCTAAACTGAACAGGCTGTTAGTTTTCTAATTTGAATGGTTTTGTCTGTAGGTATTTTTCTTTTTTTAGCCATGACGTTGTCAGTTTATTTTTTTAAGTTTTAAGTTTGAATGTCCCTTTTGTATCTTTCGCCTCTTATTTACATTTGTCATTTTGGGGCCTTTTATAGCTAAATATCCGTTATGGGTTTTTCTAATTGCCGAAGGCAGTACGCTGACCAATAGTTCTTAACTGCTGCGTAAGTTGATCTCCAGTGGAGAGTTGTCTCATTGGTACTCATACCACATCTTTTTATTTTTATATGAAATTCAGCTGAAAAGGTTTAAACTCATCAGATTAATACCAATCACAAAAGCAACTAACAAATTAAAACATTACAGACACAAAGTACAGATATGAAAGGATTCTCAGTTACCGAAAGCTAGTTCAAAGCCAATAACAACTAACAACAAAATCATATATATAAGACTAAATAATCAATCAGTACACATCTAATGGAGTAAGTGTAAAGACGTCATTGTTGATCAAACACAGATTTTACTTTTTCCATATCAAACAAACGAATGAAAGCAAACCAATCGTATATAGTTTATACATTTCGAATACTTACAACGCCAGGACATTTCTAACATTGCACGATTTTGTTGTTCGAGTACACAGACATTGGCTAATGTTAAAAACCAGTTTACCATGTTTACCAGTTTACAATTATCATATATTAGACAATGCATTTTTACTTAAAATTAGGATACTTTTCATAAGAATTATTTTTAAAAGATGAGTGTCAAAATAACGTTGTTGATTTTTGTAGAAGATAATGATATTTTTCCAATATTCAAAATAAAACCGAATAAACGGATAACATATTGTACACATGTCCGTTTTGTAATTTTTACTTTGTTTTTAAGTGAGTTTTACCTGAAACTAGTAATAGTTGTTTGCGACAAAACATTAAATTATTGTGAAAAAGGTTTTCAGTAAATGCAAATAACATTATATAAATTCCGTGCGGCTGAAGCGCTTGTCTAGATATACCTTCATTCACGAACTCTCAAAAGCGAACATTTGAAACCTAAAGATGCATTAAAAAGTAAAAACAAAAACTTTATAACCAAAATGAACCGAACAAAAATAACAAAATTCATCTAAGGTCAACTTTACGATCACCCCTTGTTATTGGTGGGGTTCGTGCTGCTCAGTCACTCTTTATTGTTTTATGTTACCAACCAGCATTTAACACTGCATGGATAAAATATAGGAGTAACAATCAAACATGTTTACAAAGGAAATAAAACAGGAAATGGGGAAACAAATTAATCTACGATTGCAGAAGGAAGTCAATTATAGCAAATTATCATAAGCCGGAAAATACTCAACATGCTCAGTCTTTGGTTTTCTATGCTGTGTTTTATAGAATGTTGTTTGCCTTTTGATCGTTTTTTGATTTTTTCCATGGCATTGTCAGATTGTTTAAGACTTGAAGAGCTTGAATATCCCTTTAGTATCTTTCGCCTCTCCTTTATCGAAGGAATTTGGAACTCCTAGTAATTTCTTAATTTATAAACGGAGAATGTATACTATTAAAAGTATGCAGAAAACAAGAAATCAACATTTTGTTTTGGCCTCAATGATATTCTCTGCTAGTACATGTATGTAGCATCGAATAGAAATACTTACCTATGAAATTGATCGCAAACACACTTATCAATACACTTGTCACCATACGTATTATTTTTACATGACACGCAGTGACCTCCAGCGTCTTTTTTCGTTCCTTTTCTGCACTCTAAGTGAATAAGCAGATATTTTGTCAATTCCTTATACTATGATTTACCTTAATAAACAAAGTTTATAAAATTCATATCGTTAACAAAATCGAGTGGACAATTCGTTAAAAAGATATTCTCGACAATGGTTGAATTTGGTATATAAACCGAAATAAAATACATTAAGAAGTTGTACTCAAACACAAAACAAGACTGACACGACGATACCAATTTATTGATATAATGTACCCTATTCGAGATCTTTAATATCCCTGTAAAAAGACAAAGGGAAAGAATTGAAAAACAGAAATACACAATGTACGAAAGATGTTCGTGTTTTTCAATCTTTAGCTTTCTGTGTGGACTCTTCTTTTATCATTTTGCAGGAATCAGTTAAATGATAAATAGGCAATGGTACGATCATGGAAACATTCCTAAAGAGTGTGGATTGCTTTAGATAAAGACAAAAACATTTAAACCACTGAAAAAACAAACTCGCAAACGATTCTGTAAAGGGGTATATGATAACAAATGTACTGAAATTAATTTTTAAGCGCAGCGCAATATTAAACATGAATGGTTTCAATCCTGACAAAAATGTGGCACAATATGGTCAACCTGGAAATAATTAGGTCTAATAAATCTGTAATACAGTTTTTTTTTATAAATTTACCAGGAGTTCACGGGAATAAATCCCTTTTAATGACATAAATACTGAGGAAAGTGATCCTATATCTTTTTAAAATGACATTTTTTATATTTCCAAAAAGAATTTATTTAAATAAAACTAACATCTTAAAACGTTAATAAAAGCTTGATATATTTAATAACAAAATATAGAAAATTAATAATAAAAACATGAATAATAGACAAAAACTAAAAAGAAGCACATAGGTCAGGTTAAAGTTGCTGTAAGAGTGGATGAAAGATGTTCATATATTCCACGATACATTCTTCGATTAATTACCCAGTAACCTATCAGTCATTTCTCCTAACACCCCTACTCCTGATATCCCGGATTTATTGAGAATTTCTGCCCTAACAGTCCGTAATAGGCGTCACAAACGCAGAATTTGGCCATGCAACCTTTATGATTGACCAATTTTGACAAAGGTTGACAGATCAGCATTTGTCACGTATTGGCGGGCTTCACTTTTCAGAACCATACCCGAATTGAATTAAGCAATGAGTAATTTGTTCTTCCTCAAATATACGATGAACGAACCCGCGAATACAGGTGCCAAAATGAACGTTCCGTCTATTTCTGCGTACAAGAAATTAAAATATTTAGCGGTGAAATCGTCAGGATGTTGACAGCAATTTCATACAGCGTTAACTGCAAAACAAACCTAGTTTGCCTCAAAGGCAATTTTATTACTCAAAGTTATAGAGAAAATATATTGAAGCAACATATGATCAATGTTATTGACCGACAGAGGATTTGTTTCAGCAGCACAATGCCTGGCTCAATACACCGGGGGTCCATTTAGATTTTCTAACTCCTTATTCGAGACAACAATCCAGTATTTTCGTGGATTTATAGTCGCAAGATTTCAACCCATAAAACATATTTGGGTCCAACTTGATATACGCGTCTATCAACTCCAACCCACATCAATCATTGGACCAACTTATTTATGTAACTAAATGGGTCACTGAAAAATTACCAATTTATTGTAAGGGAATATTCTTTTCTAATTGTCATTCAGTTTCCAATATGACATTCATGTGTGAAATATTAGCCAATAAAATACCATTCAAATATTGCTGCAAAAGGTCATTTAGTGCGTCGAATAAAATTAATAAAAAAACACCATTTTGCGTTCCTTTTTTTTAATCTGAGTACTGGTACATTGTATATATTATCTGATAAGTAGAAAATGTTGCGGTTTAAATTGTACAATGTGTCATCAAAGGCTGTTAAAATGTATATCAATTATCACTAGATGGCTTTGCATTTAATAACAAACTAGTATGCGATAGCAGTGAAACATATAAATAATGCATGAAAAATTGATACAATGAATACAGAAAACAGAGACACGCTATACTTGATAGAATTCGACAAATAGCAATATATATGTTTATACGGAGTGCTCAATATAAACGTATATTTGACATTGATTGCCATTC